GGGAAGATGGCTATGATCATGTTTGTTGCACATTGGAGTTTGCAAATGAAAGTAAAATTTTCCTGAAGAATGTTGTTTGCAAACTGAAAAGTTTACAAGCAGAATCACTCCTGAACTGAAGTATTCCTCTATATTCTCCTTAATAGTTAAATTTTATTAATTACATCTGAGCAACTTAATATTTTTTCTCTTCCATCATTTCATTTCTTGTCCACATTCAAATTGCCACTTGAAAAGTTTACAAGCAGAATCACTCCTGAACTGAAGTATTCCTCTATATTCTCCTTAATAGTTACATTTTATTAATTACATCTGAGCAACTTAATATTTTTTCTCTTCCATCATTTAATTTCTTGTCCACATTCAAATTGCCACTGTTTTTTTCATAACATGTTGTGTATTTCATTTTTAACTAAGATGTATCAATAACTCCACCCCTGATATTTGGTTATATTTTCAAGCTCTGTTAACCCACAGTGATCAACAATCTTTCTCTGTTACCCAGGCAAGTTTGGTCAGTAGTATTATCACATTGTTTTCTTGCCATGTTTGATGGTTATGTCTCTATTCCAAGTTTCTGTAAATTAGAAATTAAATCTAAAGGTTCTTTTACATGCTTTGACTCTGAAATTGCACCCAGCACATTTTCCCCATATAATGACAGATTGTCCCACACTTACTAATCCTACTTGGGAACTCATATTTAATTTCACTAAAGACAGAGCTCCTCTTTTTAAACATATATTTCCCTCCATTGCAATTACTACTAACTTGCTGGGTAACAATTACCTTGGTCCAAGCTATAGTTCATGACCAATTCTTTTCATGGCCACATTTTAGTATCTTTCTGTGGTGCTTTCTGGAATTAATTATTTTATTGGGGTTACAAATAATTATGTTCATTTTGAACTATTCTGTTTATTTTCCTACATATTTTGCTGCAAAACATAATGTAACTAAGAAGTAAATATGAATTATAAATATTTGTATAAGTTGAGGTAAATTATATTATCTTTTTAAATTATCAATGATATGAGAAGATTTATAATCATGACAGAAGCAGAAAAAGTTTTGTTTTCCTCTTTCTCCTTTATTATATATGATTAATACTGTGTAAAAGCAAATTTTATTTTTTCTAAGTTTATTGATTATACTTATAGTTGGTTATGATGTAGAATTCTACCCAAGGAGAAACAAAAGATTTAATTTTATTTTGAAAAAGGATCACGATTTCAAGTTGATATTTTCCATTCAAATTTCGTATTATGTAGTTTTTTCTTTTGTTCAGCTTCTTTCATTTTCCCATGTCTTTTTCATATTAATGCAGCCATTGAATAGGATCTGATATTGTTCTATCTGTCCATCTACAGGTGGAATGTCATCCTTATCTCAATCAGAGTAAGCTGCTTAATTTCTGCAAGTCAAAAGATATTGTTTTGGTTGCCTACAGTGCCCTGGGATCCCACCGAGAAAAAAAATGGTAATGAAGCAAAAGAACCACATCTAAACACTTGCTGATGATCTTCTGTTAGTTTTACAGTATTGTGCATCCTGAAGTTCTCTCTCTACTGGCTTGGGGAAAGGTATAAAGTTTGGCTTTCTGAGGAAATCCTGGTTCATATGAAAAGCCTTGGCCTAGAGTTGGTAACTTTATATTGGAGGCTGAAAAAAACACATAGGATCAAGGTTTACCCATGTCTATCTTCCCTTCCAGGGTGGACCAGAGCTCCCCAGTTCTCTTGGATGATCCTGTTCTTGTTGCCATGGCAAAAAAGTACAAGAGAACTCCGGCCCTGATTGCCCTTCGCTACCAGCTGCAGCGAGGGGTTGTGGTTCTGGCCAAGAGTTTCAATGAGAAACGAATCAAAGAGAACATGCAGGTGATGCGGGGTCGCAGCATCAGAGATCCTCCACAGCAGCTTTCCTGTTTGCTTCTTTGCAAGCACTCAAAACATCTTTGTTTCAAGTCATTTTTCTTTGTATTTACTCGCTATGTGTGCCTGGATGCATTTGTATGTGTTTTCTCCTACTCCACAATAGCACTGATGCTTGCATGTGTGTATAGTATTAAAATTGGACAGGTTTGGGATATTTCTATTAAGCATTACACTGGTAATGTACTGCACAGACCTGAGAAAGTTACATTTCTTTTTCCTATTTTCATGAAATAGAAATTGGATTCCTTATTTCTGAAGAGTTTTGATCTAAAAAAATTATGTTCTTGTTTTGTGTATCCTTAAATACTGCTATAGATTACTGCTCCAAATTGGTTATCTTTTTATTTTCAAGTAAGAGCAATTTATTAGACCACTCACTATTGTACTTGTACTTTGATGTAAGTATAACATATAAGTATGTTCAAACCACATTTAATAGATAGTCAAAACAAAATATTATTGTTATTCAATTATCCTATGGTTTTAAAGCCACCCTCAGTAGTACCTGAACTCAGTTCTTCTGTCCAGACTTGCATCCCTCATGTATTTACAATGAGGTACCTTCTGTGTTTGCACAACACTGAGGTTCCTCTGCTCCAGGTATTGCCTGGCTATGGTACGAGGAGCCTCACATCTCCTCCATTTAGGTTTCAGCCACTGGTCAGCTACTCAAGCTTCAACACCTCAAATAGTAGTTTCCAAAGGGAGTGAGTGGATATTTGGAAACTTCATGTCCAGGCTCAAACATTGTAAACCACTGATTCTGTCAAGTTCTAGTGGCCAATGGAAATTATAGGCCTGTCAAGATTGAAGGAGTAGTGAAAAAGACATTACTTTTTATTTATTTAGTTAGGTAATTTTAAGACAGGGTCTTATGAGGTATTTCACGTTCACTTTGAGCTCACTATGTAGCCCAGGCTGGCCTCAAACTCATGGTGATCCTCCTGCCTCTGCCTCCTGAGTGCTGCGATTACAGGGAACAGCCACCACATTCAGTGAGATCACCTTTTAGTGGAAAGAAGAGTAAAGATGTGGAGACTCTGAGATGAGAAGTATGGAGGGAGGGCATTTTTGTACTCAATCAACCACATTTATCTATTCTGGATAGCAATTTCTTTTCAAATTTGAAGTGTCTATTGAAATAATCTTCACCTAAGTAGACTGATGGTATGATTTCATGAATTAAATTTCCTTCTATTATCATATTTAAAATACCTTGTAGACAACAAACGTCCTGATGTTTCCTATACTAAGGAAAACACAAGATTTTCCTCTTATCTTACAGGTCTTAGCATCTTTCATTTCATGTTTATCTTCTTTCAAAGCTGCTGTTTGAGTGATATGTGAATAAGGATCAAATATTCATATCTGATGTTGAATGATTATCAAAATTCCCCAGCAGCTTTGGCTTCATTTCAGACTTTTCTCCTCTCATCAGCTGATATATTTGCTTTGCTCTGGTCTGCATTATGTGAAAACTTTGGTCTTGTTACCCAAAGGAACCAAACTTTTTACTACTTGCTTGCTCATGTAGAAATATTTTGTCAATTTCTGTTGGATTCTTGTTAAACAAGATGGAGAGTACTTTGTGAAAGTATCAAATTTTCCCTAGGTATTTGCTTTTATTCCATTGAAGCAGTTGATATTTTTGGAGAGAACTTTTGACAATATAAAGGTTTGAAATCCACAAGCTTGATATATATTTCCAATTGTTCAGGTACTCTTTTATAATGAAAGATCATTTTGACAAGTTTTCCAGTAAGACATTTCTAGAAACAGAAGTCTAACAGAAAAATTAAATTGATTCAAGGATATCTATCCTATTGATCATCTTCTGATGACATTATTCTTGCTTAGATAACATTTTAATTTACAAAAAATGCAAATAGTCCCCTTTCTTAGATTCATAAGTGCTGTATTTGTGACATTTAAAATCTCCCTGGCTCTCTCACAAATTATGAGTGTGTATTTAATAATACATTCCTTTTACTATGTTATTAATCAATAAAAATCATTCACATGTTTAAGGATCACACACTGAGGTAAGAAGAACCTCTGGGAGTCGGTTCTTTGGTTCCCTGCACATGGAATCATTGGTATTTGTACAATTCCTCACCTCCACTGAAAGCAACAGTTCATTGATGGGCCATGAAAATCCAATTGCACCCTGAAAATTACTGAATTTGTTATATTTTAAAATTTGACTCAAGATTACTCTGGATGTTTAGGAACAAGAGACTGTCCTCTTTGACTTGTGGCAGCTTTGATTTTATTCATCTTTATTTGAAATATTTTTTCTTGGAAGTGTTCTATAGCCTTAATATATACATGCAAGAATAGCTTTCTTTCTATTTTCCATGTGTTATTCATTACTTCTTGTGTTTCTTGCTGATGATTTTAATGAGTTTTGAAAACCTTTCATATATTTCAAGGATCATTTCTGCACTTTTAATTAATTAATTTCAAATTTACAGGTTGGAAAACACGCAATATAAATATAATAGCAATCTTTTTCTTCTGTGATAGGTTTTTGAATTCCAGTTGACTTCAGAGGACATGAAAGCCATAGATGGCATAAACAGAAATGTTAGATACATTACGCTTGCTAAGTAAGTAACTTTGGTAAATATGTTGCTTTAACTCATTTTCTGAGGAGTAATATAACATGGTTTCTAAAAGTTGTCTCAGTAGTAGGAATAAAAAGTCAGGGATGAAACAGAAGCTTGCTAGAACTCTTCTCAGATTCTCTGCAGTGCTCTCTGACACTGCAACAACATGAGTGGAACCAGGATCAGACTGGACTCCCACACACACACCTCTGCACTTCTCATTCAATGGAATGTTCCAGATCAGCCAAAATCCTGCTGCACGTGAACTGCATGCATGCCTTTGCATTCTACAACCATCTACTGGGTGCACAGCATGCACATCACCGAAACAGTATAATTAGACATTTCCAATAATAATGCTTAAATATCTTTTAACAAACCTGTTCCAATCTCTATGAGATTAAAGGGATCTTCATTATTCTTATGGCCCACACCAACAATCCCCATCTCTTTTGTTTGAACTCCTCACTGAAAAGGCAATTTAATGTGTTTAATAATTTCATGGTTCCCCCTTGCTTTTCACTATTCATAGTTATTCAGAAGCCAAACACCCCATGTGGCTTCAGAAAGGTTGCCGTAGAGGTCACTAAAGTACTTAATTGTGATTTTTTTTATGGATTCCAATAGAAAGCCTGAACAACTTTTCGAAAAGAGAGGGAGTCGAAGGGAAGATTTTACAAAATGGCTCATTCTTGGGGACAATTTATATCTGTTAATAGAAATTAATCTTCCCTTGTGCATTAAGTTTGTAGAAAATGAGAAAAGAGAGATAATATAATGGAGCCTAACAAGAAATTTATACCATTTCTACCTTTGGGAATTTGAAATTACATTGGAAATTAAGTATGGTAAGGCATCAAAGGACATTTGCACAATGCAAATGTGGATGTGCTCAAATGTGGGAAAATATTCATTACCATGGCTAATATTTTTATGAATAATGAGAAAAATACAGAAGAATGTCACAACATAAGGAAAAAAGCATCAGAGATCAAGCAAGCTATAATTCTATCAAGTAATGATTTAAAATAATTTATTTTTGACACCATACATTGTGCTATTAAAGAGTAGAGTTGGATAAATAATATAGTAAATTCTATAAACGTGGAAAACTATAAGTGATATTTGTTCCATTATATGCAAAGATAGCAAGTAAACAATTCCTGAATTATGAATATGGAATTCAAATTTTTAACACTAAATTGTACAGCCTGAAATGCTTTTGTTTTGAGCAATATATGAAATTATCCTTCTTTTATACAAGGCATAAATAGAATTTATTTTTACTGAAAATTTGAAATAAGAAAGAATAAGATAGTCTCTTGCTAGATTGATCAGGAAAGTTAGAAAAGAGATATCTGTACATTCTGAGTGAGAAAATACACTGGAAATAATTAAGATAACATTTTCTAATAACATTTCCTAGTGATTCATTTTGAAAAAGTTTATAACCAGTTAATAAATAAAATAGATATCATTTCTTCTTACCACCCTAAAAAGGCAGTTGTCAATCTCATATTATGCATTTTTCTTTCTTGTTTTAGTGCTACAGCCCATCCTAATTATCCATTTCTGGATGAATATTAACATGGAGGCCTTCGTCCTAAGTTCTCCCAGAAGACCCTGTGCGCAGATATGGATGTGAGAGATTCTCAAACTCAGATGTTTAGACTCATTTCTTCTCACTTACTCATGCTGATTATCAACTCAAACTATGGCAGAAATATATACCACAGCTTTGGAAGAAGTGCACGAAGATTTTGTCCTATTTTGAAAAATATAAATTGCTTTCTCCCAAAATTTTATCTAGTTCTGTATCTATTAATTGCACAGTTTGTCTGCTTCTGACTGATTAAAACTAAAAACAGATTTGCGTAAAAGACAGCAGGCTGGGTGGGAGCAGGGATGAGAAAGTCATTTTACAGACATATCTAGGCAGGAAGTACATGGAGGGCTCAGCCTCAGGAAATAGTGCTTTGCAAGTATTCCTCAGATACTGTTTTCTTTGCTCTTCAAGGAAAAATAAAACCAACTGCATGCAATCTGGAAGGTGAGGCCTTTGTGGGAATGTAATCAACAATCCAAGGGCTCCTTTTGAGCAATTCAGGGATGCAAGAGTCAGGACATGGCCCAATGTGGGACCAGGAGAGGTAGACAGGATGAATGATTATCCAGAGATGAGACTTCATTTAGTCCCTGAATGGCCCAGAGGAGCTATTTCCACTCATGTGTACCCAGCATTCAGCAGACATCCAGGAGATAAAAGTCTTGATGGGAAGAACTTTCTCGCTTGTGTTTAGAACTTCGGTGTAAGAGGAACAAGCAGCAGAAAAGCAGTATGTACCAGGAGCTGTCTCAAGGTTAGGTAGTTTTTCTTGGTGAGAGGAAAATGACAATGGCCAAACACAACATGCTTCATCAGTAATCTAAACTTGTTATTGTTTAAATATTCACTCCTCACAGAGCTTGTGTGCTGTTGCCCCACAGTTTAATTACTTTTGTGTTTTTTTTAATCTCATGGAATAAACATAAAATAATTTCATAACAAAATAATCCGAGAATAACAATAGGTAATAAATTACATGTTATTATCTTTGAGGTATTTGCTCTGGGCACGAGATACTGGCATAAAAATTTCTCCAATCAATATTAGCACAGACCTTCCTTCTTAATGAACCAATAAACATTAGTATTATAACTGACTTGCATTTTTCCCTTTTCCCTACTGTCCTTTCCCCTTTTCCCCATCCTAGTTCCTTTTTCCCTTTGAACAATTTTTTCCAAGTTCACAATATCTATTGTACATTTTAGAAATTATTTATTCTTTTAGTTTCTCATACCAGGGAGACAATACAATGTTTTCACCTGTGAATCTGATTTATTTCTCTTATGATTATGGTCTTGAACTGCATCCATTTACTTATAAGTCTCAAGTTGATCTTTCTTTATGGTAGTATAACACTCCACTGTATAACAATACCATATCGTTTTTATCATTCCTCAGTTGATGGGCATTTGGGTTCTTTCCAAGATTTAGCTATTACCAATTGTGTTGCTATGAACATGGGTGCACATATACTGCTGTGGTATGAGGTTATCAGTTTTTCTGGGAAAATTCCCTAAAGCAAAATAGCTGGGTTAAATGGGAACTCTAATTCTAGTTTTGTGAGGAATCTACACACTGATTCCCACAGTGGTTGTACAAGTCTACACTCCCACCAACAGTGGAGAAGGGTTCCTTTTCACCCACAGCCCCTCTAACATTTGTTATTGGTTGACTTCTTGATGATGACCATTCTTTCTCAGTTGAGATGGAATCTCAGTGTTGTTTTAATTTGCATCTCTTAAATGACCAGTGATGTTGAACAAATTTTCATATATTTATTTGCCATTTGTATTTCTTCATCTGAGAAGTGTGTATTCATCTTGGATACCCATTTCTAGATTGGGTGTTTTAATTTGGGGTGGTCTGATTTTTTCAGTTCTTTATATATTCTAGATAGAAGTCTTTTGTCTAGGGACAATTGGCTAAAATTTTTCCCACTCTGTGGGTTTTCTTTTTTACTCTGTTGGTGATTTCTTTTGATATGCAAAAGCTTTTCAAGAAGATGAGATCCCAGTTGTTGATTCTTTGAAGTATTCCAAAACACTCTGATAAAGAAATTAGGAAAGCCACACCCTTGACAATAGCTTTCACAAAAAGATATAATTAGGAATCAATCAAACAAAGCAAGTAAAGGATCTATATTTTGAAAATAAAATGACTCTGAAAAAGGAGTTCAAAGAGGACATTAGAAAATGTAAAGTTGGGGCTGGGGATTTAGCTCAGCGGCTCTGCCTGGCAAGAGCAAGGTCGTGAGTTCGGTTCCCGGTAACGGAGAAAAACCAAAAAAAAAAAAAAAAAAAAAAAAAACAACAACAGAAAATGTAAAGTTGCTCCTTGCTCATTGATAGGAAGAAATAACATATCAGAAATGGCCATTTACCCAAAATTATTGTACAAATTTAATTCAATTCCAATTAAAATACCTCAGCAGAAGTAAAGAAAGTATTGCTAAAATTCATCTGGAACTAAAAGAGTCCTACAAAAGCAAAAGCAATCCTGGGCAACAAAAGCAAGGTAGGAGGCATCACAATCCCTGTCTTGAAAATATACTACAAAGCTACTGTGACAAAGTCAGCATGGTACAGACCAAAAAAACCCTGCAGACAAGTGGAACAGATTAGAAGATGCAGACACAACTACAAACACACTCAACCATCTTAACTTTGACAAAGGTGCAAACATGTCGACTGGAAGAAAGATAGTCTCTTTAATAAAAAATGTTGGAAAAAACTGACTTTCCACATACCAAAGACTAAAACTTGACCTATGCCTATCACCATGCACTAAATTAACTCAAGATGTGTCAAAGGTATATATATTTAAAGAGAAACACTGCATCTGTTGCAAGAGAAATTAGATAGAAATCTTAAAGACATAGGTATAGGCAGAGAGTTTGAGAACATTTGTGTGCTTTTGTCCCACATTTAAACATTCACTCCTCACTGAGCCTTTGTTCTTTCATTCTGCACTTTAGCCATTCACTCCTGGGCCAATTCCCCACAAAGAAATAAGGAAATGAGGCCTGCTGGTGCAGCAGTTGGAAGGGAGGTGAGGAGAACCAGCCTGGAAGGAACATGAGGAGACAGATGTAGGGATGTTGAGGAGGATAGATTGAACATATTTCTGCTCGTGAAATCCTGACAAGCTGTCCTTTGTTAAGTACATTGCCTGGATGAAAGAAACCTGCTCACATATTTTACCTAAGAGTCAATGCTATGTGTCAGTTCTAGACCACAGGTTTGTCCAGTAAAAGCAGCCCAATTACTGCATAGTGAAGCCATTTGTATAGCTACAGTTGTATCTGTTTTATAATTATGTAATATGGTTAAATTTTTCCCCCTTAGCCAATAATTAAAACCCATTTGAAAGACTTCTTCCTGAGGAAGTTCATTACATGCCCAAAGATAGCCAAGTAAAATTGCAAGGCCTAATGTAGTCCATAATCTAATGGAAAAATTGACCTGGTCAAGTTTTCTTTGTACCAACCACCATATTTATCAAATTTTGTTAACTTTAAAAATATTAATGTAAGAGCCAGGTGCGGTGGTGCACGCCTATAAGATCAGAACTTGGGAGGCTGTGGCAGGAGGATCTTTGTGAGTTCAAGGCCAGCCTGGGCTGCATAGTGAGCTCAAGGCCAGCCTGAACTGCATTGTGAGACCCTGTCTGAAAAAAAACCAGAACAAAACAACAAAAAAAAATATTAATGTAATGTATTTACTATTTTTAAATATTTCTAATATAAAAAGTCATACATACAAAACATGGACCATATTTCTAAGTTATGACATATTTTCTATAAAACTAATATTATACTAAATGATTTTGTAGTTGCATGATCTAAAATTTTCAAACATCTTTTGTAAGACATGTGCAAAATAGCATGATAGTCACTGAATATGTAAACTTTTGGGAACACATTTACATATCATATTTCCTTCATATCATTTTTAGGAATATAAACTGAACATTGTAATTCTAAACAATGAAAATTTGATCTCAACTCTGTTAAAATATAGGACATCAGGGGCTATTGTGGCAATTAAAAAACTCATGAGACTGAAAGGTTTTCAAGACTTGGTTCAACTTTCTAATGCATCAATTTTAACTGCTCCTTATGATTATTTGTGTCACATGTAATGCTCAAACATAAGGAAACAAGCGAGGTCCAAAATGCAAAACCCATAACTTTTCTGAACTGATTAACCCTTTAAATTAGAGATATATAATATAAAGTAATTTATACCATAATATGTATGTATGTGTATGTATATATAGGTTTATAATATACTTTCTAATGTAATATATGCAGTAGTACTTATACATAAAACATATATGTATATATTATTATACAACCTCATCTCTTAAGAGTGCACAATTAGGACTAAACTCTTTAGACTGCAATCATGTGTGGGTGTGTGTTCTCTTTTATAATATCTCACAGGACACTTTCCTTAGTCATTTTATAAAAACCCACTTATTTTATAGATTTTGCTTCTGTGAAGATAATCATTTTATGTGAATATGTACCAAGTACTTTTCTGAGAACTTCTTTAAGGTAGTAAAAAGACAAGTAGAAGCTGCAAAGTCTCAAGAAGTCATAATATCTAATCAGAGCAATTCTTCATAAAAGAAAATCTTAGTAGTATTGAAAACATTAGACTTGCAGTTTCAAATCTCACAGGACGGACCTTAAACTTGTTAGTTTCATCTGCATAACAAGACAGAAGGTAAACAAGCTGAAAATAAACAACCCTATTTAGATCCCTCAGAAAACAGTCACAAAGCAAGAAAACTAACCATTTTCAAAAGTTTTTGTTATTATTCAAACCAGCATTACAAAATATTTTACCAATTCCAATTTATTCTGGCTTTTATCAAAGCCTAATCTACCCGACAGGGAAAGTACCAACTTCAGATCCCACTAGCTTTCCATGTGAGGGAAAAGAAATACTCAGCAGTAGTCTCTGCTGGCCTTCTTGTCTCACTTGTGGAGTGAAGGACCTGAGGAGTTGGCAAGTTCACAGTCTGAAGGCTCAGGCTCCCTGAAAACCAGGCCTTACCATCAGATTGAAGAACACTTTGTGTTCCCCAGTACCTTACTG